TATTGGTAAGCAGAATCCAGAACCTGACGGTCAAACGACATAAGTAAATATAAGCTTGCTATTAACTGACCTTTTAGGGGGAAATCCTAAATCACAAATTCATCGAAAATAAAATGGGCGAACGACGAAACCAACATGTCGCCCAAAACTACACAAAAATAAAAGTCAAAATAAAACTTTTAAAAAACGTCAGAAATCTGAATTCAATTTGTTTCCTCGATCACGGATGGCGATAATAAATAAAATATGAAAACTTTTTAAGCAAATTCATACGGAGTGGGCTTCGATACTCCCTCTAGAACTTGAGTAAGAACTGTATTCAGCAGTGTTGGTTTGACCTCGTACTCGCAACAGGGAGACCTTGTGGAAATTACCTAGACCTGTGTCCTCTACCATAGCATTCATAATACTTTCCAGCATCAAATCGTATACTTGGTACATACTCAGATCAGTCGCCAGCATCGTCAATAATAGGTGCCATCTTTAGCACAGAGTTACAATGCATTAAAGCGGCAAGGTCTCCCTGTTGCTATGACCAAGTTATGAAAACTAGGTAAAACCAACACTACGACCAAATCGGAGGTCTTTTTATCTACCATTGTGTTCAGCAAACAGGGTATAGGGTGATGAATGATTAATAGTTGAATTTTATCACAATTATATGAGTAGGTAGCACGATGCTAGTGAATCATATTAAGCCATGTCTCTCAAATAGTATTCTTATCCAGAATGGATTGAAGTTTTGGACTCGCCTGGAACTTATCAGCACCCCCTAATGAGAGTGGAAATCAGATAGAGCAGAGTTGGTTTTCGACATGCTAGAACTGCACCACACTGTCATGGGTATCAATGAGTCATAGGACATGCATGAAATTCAAGTCTAGCTAAGTCTCTACCATATTTAATTTTACATTTTATATTGGGATTATCGATGAAGCAGGCTTGTATCTGTTGTTAAGATTGACCTATATTCAGAGTACCTAATTTGTACCACCAATAGATCTTGAATAAAAACATTTTCTCGAAGATGCTAAGGCCAAGATGGTGTGACCCTCGGTATGGTCGCAGTCTTTTTTCGATTTATAGAAGTGGGTCGACGCGGTTTTCGCAACTTGGTCTTGTTGTCAGGGTGACCTATTTAAATGCCCCTTGTCCGAAGTCCTCTGTCATAGTAGTTATCATAATTCCCAGCATCAGAATGTATCAAGTCCGCGGTGTGATGCTAGGAATTATGGTAACTTCTATGACAGAGGACTTCGGACAAGGTGTTTTCAACAACAAGATCAAATTGCGAAAACGAGGTCAACCCAATTCTAAAAACATTTTCTATTATGAAGACTATCATTTCGTAGGAAAGCGCATGTTGAAGAGATTATTAGGTATATCTCACTCAGGATGACAGCTGATTCATATTGTTCTGCCACCAGTTGGCTTAACTTTGATGTTTAGGTTGACGAGGGTCAAGAGGCACCCTCCCTCGTTTCGGGTGAAAATGGGCTGAGATTTCGTCCACAATGCCAGTTGACAGACATCGTCATAGCTGGAACTTCCTTTTGTAAACATTTCAAGTTAATATTAAGTCAACAAGACTAGTCGGCCCTACTTTAGATGGTAGATATACTAAAAGCGAAAAGAATATATAGATGTTTGTACATAAATATATATGGTTGTGTATATATATAGATTGGCAGGTCCTCTAGTTGATTTGAAGATTTTTTAAGAATGGGTTCCAGCTCTAAAAATGTTTGTCAACTGTCATGAAGGACGAAAGTTTGGTCCATTTTTATCCGAAACGGACGAGGATGTCTAATGACTGCATCGACCTGAATGTCAGCTATTAAACAACGCAATCAGCCGCCTTCTTATGAGACTGACACATGAATTTCTTCATCCTGCTCTCTTATACGAAGTGATAATCTTCATAATAATGGCATCATAGAAAATTAATCAAGACCCAGTTATACTTTAACATATATGAACCTTTCAAAGTCTTACATTTAACTAGACCAGGTGACAAAAATGAATGATAAAGCAATCTCAAGGTTTCCTTTAGTGATAGGATTGAATACGAATTGTTAGATAGTAGTTCAGATAGTAGACTCACCGTTTTGGTAATTACTTCCGAGAGCAGACTTGGCAAGTTCAGCTAAATCCGCAGACTTTTCATCCACCAGAACTCCATTAGCTACACGAGTGTGGGACTTTTCCTGATTAACTCCTATAGAATCAGTATTTCCAGAAATGCTAGTCTCATCGGATAGGCTCTCCAACTCTGAGAGTATCTTCTCAACCAAAATAGTTGCCTCCAGACTCGAAATGGCCAGTTCCCTTGAACCGGATTCTCTGTCACTGGCCTCGGTCTCTTGGCGACGGATTGGCGACAATGGCATTTCAAATTCGGCCACCTTCTTGAAGTCAGCCAAAAGTGAGGCGGAGGGCACCAGTTCGTCAGTCTTGATGCGCATCGCTCGACGAACAAGAGTTCCATTCTCGCGTCCGCCCTTTCGTCCTACCTCGGAATCTCCGTCACCCCCAGGGCTCTCCGGCTCACTGGACTCCTCCTCACCGTCAGGCGTCATGGCGCAGGAGACGTCTGAGTCACTGGGTCGTGAGGTGGCAGACTCGGCCTCTCTGCTCGTCTCCTCGGGGCTACTGCAGTCATCCGGCCGGAGTTGACTGCTCACGGTGACGTATGACTCAGCTTCGCTGGCCAGGCTGTCTTGGCTGCGCGCCGTATACATCGATTGCCAAGAGGATCTCGCCGATCTGCCAGAGGCAGTGTGGTTTGTGATGCTACCGTCTGGTGTCGTCACGGCGTCGAGTTCAGTCGCCTTCGAGAGGCTCCATGAAAGGGGTCTGTTGGCGAGCTGTGTCTCGGCAAGACCTACCGCCTCGGAAAGGGGTCGGCTTATGAGCCTCCCTTGACTGGCGTTGGCAGGGTGTTGCTTTTGTCGCAGTTGCACCACAACTCCGCAGGCCGCGTTCACCGTTGATTCGTCCGTCTGCTCTTGGTCGGGTCGATACGCGGTGCTAAAGAGGGCTTGACAAGACGCAGCCAATTTGTGCGGTCGGGCCTGAGGAGTAAATAAACGCCAGTCACCGGCGCTGTGGAGCTGTGGGAGCCGATCTACGAGTGATTTGCGCTCAGCCCCAGCTGTTCCAACAGATTGTGCCAAGTCTGCTTCTCGGCTGCCCGATCGATATTGTCCGCCGCCGTCAACAGAGGCTTTGCAGGCAGCCGCCTCGCTGGTTTGAGCTTTGCTGGGCCGATATGCCGCGTTGATGAGTGACTGACAAGGTGCGGCCAATCCGTGCACTCTGGTCTGAGGAGCAAATGAAGGCCAGTCACCGGCGCTGGAGAGCTGCGAGAACGTATCGATCGACTTGTGTTCGGCCTCAGTCAGCCCAAGAGGCCGTTTAAAGGCATTTGCCTCTCCGTCGCCCGATCGATAATGGCCGCCGCCGCCGTCAGCACCAGCAAAGACGAAGGCACGGCTTGAGTGGCCGTCAGTCTGCAAATGAGCCGGCGAGCCGGACTTGACGCTGGAGTGGATTATGTCGTGTTTGGGATCGGCGTTGGGAGGCCGATCTTCTCGAAGGGCCGTCTCTTCATCCGTCGTCTCTGTGATAGTGGAGAGGGAGTGCGTGCTTTCACGGTCACACAAGGCGGCGGTGACTGGCGGCCGACGAGCAACGGCGAAAGTGAGCATGTCTTCGGTGTTGGGCAGAGAGTCATCGACTGTTGGCGGCGACATGCAGTCAAGGCGGTCTTCGACGAACAAGTCCTCAGCCTCGTCCAGGGGCCCCGTGGGGCTGAGTTCGGTCTCGTCGGAGTTGGGTGACTCGACGTCAAGATCCGTCAGACTGAAGTCGGACGGCGACTTCCAGGTCTTCAGTTGGCCGAGGAGGAAGTCATCGTCGTCTGGGCAACAGGAGTTCGGCAAGAAGGCCAACACCGAGTGTTGCGGAGCTGGGGGCGATAATGTGCAACCCTGCGGCCTGGCGACCTGCAGCTCGGCGGCTCGGGTGCGTGCATCCACGAGGCCGCTGAAATGGGGCTCATGGTGAGGCTCTCTGTTGCGACGGGCCAGGCCAGCCTCGGTGAGGTTGTAGAGCGTCTGCTCGGCCAGTCGCCAGTCCTGCTTCTCGTCATCACTCCCTCCGGTCCGGGTCTCGGTCTCGGACAAGGCCTGGGCCCCGCCAAAATGCGTTTTCGGTCCAGATCCCAGCCCCGATGCTGTTGTCGGTGCCGGGCCCGCGCACGGGGCGGAATGTCTGGTCCGGCCGACCAGCGGCGAGGAGGGTTGACTCTGGCTGCCGGGCAGGTGGGGC